CTTCAATGACTGAATACTATAACAGGATTTTACGCCAAGTAACGGAGATCAATGATTTATTCATATTACAGCATAAAACGGCCAAATATTTAGATAAGGATAAGCCTCGATTATCCCATTCTTTTTCATCGATCACAGCCTCTGCAATGATCACTCTTCCCGTGTCTTGTGGAATTTCTTCTTTGCACTTCTTTAGAATGTTGAGGCACTCGTCGTCTCCCCATTCATGTGATAACCACCACAACATATTATCAAACGCATAATGTCAATATTTAAAGCAATGTATTGGAGGAAGCTTTAAAGGTAAAGATTGTGCTTCTTCTTCTTCCATCTTTCTTCCAAGAGGCAAACATATTGAAGGAAGCTTTAAAGGTAAAGATTGTATAATTATTTTAAGAGAAATTAAATATGGCAGGGGGAAAATTAAACATGAACGTGCTTCTGGAATGCATATCTACAGCAACAGGGTGGGGTCACAGTGAGAGTATTTATTTTGTTCACCAACTCAACACGTTAATCACTATGCATCTTTCTTTGAGTGTCTGTGTACAAGTTACGATATTGCCTCCTAGCTTTAACAAATAATTAACTCACTGTCATGACAACAATCAGGTGAATTTTCCGACCGCAGTCAAGATTGGAGTATGTCTGTACCATTTCATGATTTACGAGTTAGATTAAAATGGAGAAAACATGTTTTAAGGTAACTTCCAATAGAATAATTTGAGTGGTGTGGACCCAAATCTGTCTTGCCCGACTAAATCTTCAGGGGTGGGTGCACCACGTGGGGGCGGGCACACCATCCACGTGGTGCACCTGCCCAATACCAAAGCGCCACCTCGGTGGTTGACCGCCCCACTGAAGTTTTTCTCATCTTGTCCACCTGTCAACTCGTGGTGCGACCACCCCACTTAAGTTTCTCTCGTCTTGCCCACCTGTCAACTCGTGCATTCCACAATCCACATAGCAGGTCCAAAGACTAGGTACATGCATGGTTCCAAAGGGGAAAAAAAAAAAAAAAAAAAAAAAAAAAAAAAAGAAAAGAAAAGAAAACCTCTATTTGAGAGAATTTCTTCCAACACCTTTAAATTTCGTTGGAATAAATTGAAAGAAACCATTGAATCTTCCAATATCGATATGTGGATTGTTTCACTCATATATTTTCAAATAATAATAATAAATAAATAAAATAAAACTCTTAAGAATTATTTCTTGAATTTGAAAGAGAATACTTGAATTTAAAAGTCATCATTTAATAGCTATTTTACCCTCCACGTCTTCTATGCCATTACGAATTCCCCTGTAACTTAAATAATCCAAGCCAACTAAACGTTTGTTTGGCACAACTAATTTGAAAAACAATTTTTCCTCAAAAACTCATTTCCAATTGTACATTTTCCTAATAAAATAAATATTGTTCATTATACAGTCCAACACTATCCAAATACCGTGTACCGAATATGAAGTAACATCTGCAGTCTGGTTCTGTAGGCAATAAGAAATCCATCTGCTCAGGTTGATGCATTGAAGAAAAGCTCTAGGATAATCTCATGCCCTCAATATGCAAGTTAGTTGAGGACTCCAGTTCCTCCACTGCAGTTATAAGCAAGGAGTTTCCTTCACAAGATTCTTTCAATAATTGGAACCTCTTCCCTAAACAAATTTGTAGAGATGAAGCTACATCTGATATGGGCTCTGCACAGGGGATTGACTTCTTGTACTGTATTAATTTCATCAACATGTTCTGTCGAAAAATTGCATCAACTGGATAAGCATGTACCCAAGCAATAAACAACCAAACAAAATAATTTAATCTCCTGTTTTTCAGTGGCCAATCAAGGTGGGATCGGAGCAAAATATTTAATTCGCATGCTTTATGATATGATATCAGAACTTTTCCAGTGAAGTTAAAGACGTCAGATAATAACTGCTTATAATGGAAAAGTGAATTTCATATTCATCATACTCAGAAATGCACAATTTCATCTTTCCCAGAAACACGAGCATGTTTCGTGATTAAAAGTATAAAGTTACTTTTTACCAACACATTTTGCCAACTTTTCTTACTTTCAAGTGCAGAAAGTTACTTATTATGGGAAGTAATAATTAACTTATTTGCAACTTCGACCAATAAAAAAACTAGTAATTTTAACATAACTGAACTTTTAAGCTCAGCCACACGTGCGCTTACTCATCACAAAAACAAGTCTTGCCACACTATCGAGCTATGTAATTTACTTATTTGCAACTTTGACCAATAAAAAATTATTTTATTTTAAACTTTTATGGGAGTAAAAATTTAACTTACTGCAAACATGCATTATCTAGAATCTTGTCTATGACACATAAATGGCATAAAAATTCTCAAATTTGATCTGTCACATATCAAGTTCCTTGGTTACCAGTAGACTTTCGTACCTGACGTTGCTCTTTACGAGGACAGTCACGCAGCAGAGATCTTGCTAACTTATTGCGCAGAGTGCGTGTACTATCACAAACATTCTCAAAAAGGAAAGATGAAAGATGGTGTAGAACCAATGTGAATGTTGCTGATCTTCGAGTTGCTGCTCTGTCAAGAGCACCAGAAACCCATGATTTCACATAAGCTTCCAAGATTCTTTCATCATCCTGCGTAAAAATGAATATCATATTATTTTAGTTCATAACTACTTCAGGGTCTTGCATGGGGGGAGAAACTTCTGGGAAATCTGTGAGTTCATAGAACTAGCTTAATTTTTTAAAAGAGAAGATGAAGCGAGAATAAACCAAACAGGGGCTCAATCTCTTTGTGGAAGAATGAGATTACGAGCCATTGACATGAGATTTTTCCCAGGGAGCCTTCGTCTAAACAACCATGAAATCTAAATTAATTGATGATAATACGACGAGCTATACTTTTGAACAACGAATATTATATTAAACTATGGGCCAAAAAAATGGCATTGAGCTATTATAATGCAAGAATTTACTAAAAATTATTGAAATTATATTTCCTTTAAAATCATATAAAGAAAAATTGACCACAAAATTCTACTTCTTGGTAAGTAATCCAAATCTATTGAAGACGAGATTAAATTATTGACTAATGATAATATTGTATTAGCATAGAATAGGTTGACCAAGGATATCACACCTTCAATCTTTAGGGATTCCATAATTCCATTTAGTGCTTGAATCCCAATTTTTTTTTTTAAAAAAGAATAAGAAGGGAAAATTGAATAGCTCTCTTAGATTAAGCCCCTGTTTGACTCCCTTTAAAACAAAGTAATTCATTTTTCATACTCATTTTCAACACAGATTCACACAGTAAAATATTTTGCACATAAACCAAAAATTTTTCCTCACTTTTTAACTACACATTCTCAAAAAATCACTATTTAAAACATCATTTTTACTCAATAATGGCCATCAAATAGTCTTAGGTCATTGATACAGTATCAAGCAAGTGATTTTTCCTTAATCCGTTGAAACTTTAGCACATACCCATATCCTAATTCTAAAATGTGTTCGTCTGAAAACTAGTGTTAGTTGAAACTAACTGAAGCTTTTATTTGATAAATGGCAATAGTCAAACATAATGCAACAAGTACTTCCATAGATAACAAAATTTTTAACTAGCATATCAGTAAAATACCTCAACAGGTTCAAGATAACCATCACCCTTAGCAATGCACTTCTCCAAAGGTGGAAAAAGTTCAAGAACTCGTGCATTAGATAAAGCATTCCATGTAGCCAGCCTTACAGGAGCTTCGACACGTCTGTGCAAATAGATTGCAACTTGCCGAGCAAATACCACGTCACCATAAGACACAGCAGCAAATTGCTCCACAAGATTTTCTATGAATGTAGAGTAACTCTCATGTATCTCCGACTGGAAATAAAGGGACTCCATATTGAATTTTTCAAGGACTTTCCCATACACATCTTGCAAAGTTTCATAAACATCCCTACTCTTTTCTTCTTCAAGAACACCCATTCCACCAAGTAAGGTGACAGACAAAGCGTGCAATTTCCAGACAATTGGAATATTATTGACAGGAGACTGGAACTCCACAGCAACGAAAGTAGACATTGCTTCAATACCTAGGAGAAAAAAAAGTCCACCTCTAGCAATTTCTACAAAGTCTACAGGAATATCGATGTTTTTCTCATACTGAATAGTCGATATTGCACTGAGAAACCAATGTATAGGAAGATGCAATCTCTGATGAGCCCACTCCATTATCAAGGAAGTTGGCCCTTGACCAACCGTGAGGGGTCTATCTGTATCCTCGTGAATAGTTTCTAGAGGAAGACTACCTTTCTTGTGTCTTTTGCAATTAACATGCTTGTGGTTACCCGTGGTTTTTAATTTATTCTTTACACTGAGCCATCTGTTTTTGAAATGTGTAGATAAAACATTGGCAAACAGCAGGTACTCCTCTTCTTCGTATTTCCACCCAAAGGGTCTGAATCCTTCTCTATGAGAAAGAAACCGGCGGATACCAAAATCGAGATGCTTCAGAACAGGAACTTGTAACAAGATATCCAGCAGCTTATCAACAACAGCGCCATCCCTAGGTCCTGCAATCATACATGCTTTGACAGCAGAATTTATCCTTTGCATTGTAAAGCACACCTCCTCATCTGTTAATAGATCTTTGGCAAAGGCATTCTGAGTATTTTCAAGCAAGTACATAACCAGCCTTGCATCTTGTTGAGCCAATAAAGTTGTTGTAGACCAATATCCTCCACCAGGGGAACCCCAGCCCACACCTACCCCTGGAGATGGCCCACCTCTTCCAAACATCTCAATGGACTGTATACATTGCCAACCATTGCTAATTAACTTCATAAAGGATGACAGCAAAGCGCCTAATTCAACCAAAGAGGAGTGGAATATCCCCTCTGCAAGAATTTTATCATCCCTTGTAAAATTTTGATATTCAGCTGATGCATTCTGAAACTCGTGTTTAGCAAGGTGGATCAACTTGTCCACGGAAGCAACTACCTGTACCAATCCATGAAGGCAACATGTAGAAGATATTGATGTTTCATGGCCACTTTTTTGTCTTAGATGACACAGATACCCAAGGAAGGAGCCACTTCCAGCAGTGTTATCATCAGACGCCATACCATTTACCCCTGAAAAGCTCATAAATCCATTTCTAATAATTTCAAGTCCAATCTTAGGTACGAACTCAGGCAGCCATGGGACATGCCCATTGTACAAACTTTTCACATCATCTGGAGTGGCAGCTTTGAGCACATTGGATAACATATGCATGACAGAAGAAATAATCCATAACAAACAATTTACTTCTGAATCCTGCAAAATAAAATATCCACCAGCTTCATCCCAGTCTAGGAATCCGGATATATATGGAATGCTTTTTACTTTTGTCCACTCAATGGCTAAATCAATTATAGGACCAACTTGACTCCATGCCCAAACCTCCGTATCTTCAGCATTAACCTCCATTCCTTGATGCATCTGTAAATAGAAATTGGGAAGCCTGCTAGCTAAAGCATCCAGAAGAAGGTAAGCTTCCTTGGTGATGGCAGCAAATTCAATTATGACATTATTTTCAATTAGTTTAGGAAACGTAGGTACATTCAGCCAAATGGACAATGAAGGAAACAAATCAGGAAATTGAGAAATGCCATATCCAAACTGAATGCAAACCTTCCAGAAACGCAACTGTTCAACCAGCAAAGCTGATGAAAGTTTACAAACGTCTCTTCCAGATTTTACCCATTGATCAAGAGAGAATGGATATCGATACAAATGCCATGTCACCTTGTGGAAAATCCCATTCTTGATCAACATTATGCAATTCTTTTTCTCGACCCGAGCCAACACCTTTTAAGCATCAAGAAAAATACTTACGAGTTTTCCTTGAACAAGTGAAAAGAATATCTTATGGGAAAAAAAATCAAACATGAATTATGGACACACATAGCTTACTTTCAAGAGTTTAACAGATTTTATCTTGCAGGGATATATTTCAATCTGTTCATTCGCAGCAAATCTGTTGGCAACTGTCTGAACAAGCCTATCACAATTAATAATTGCTGCTGCGCATGTTGGGGAATGCCTTGCTATTGCAATGAGAATAGATATTAAACATTCTTCCAAAGGTGGCGAAGGGCTTGTCTGGCACCACAAAAGTTGATTATGTAAGATACATTAAGTCTTTCTAATTCTATACGTTAAAATTTTAGGCATTTTTCTCAAGATGGAGCAGGAAACTGCCTACTAGCATCAAAATGCTTACCTCTAAGAGATAACATATCCTTGGAAGAATTCCCATCCTAACCAAGCCTGCAGCAATATCCTGCCCAGCAACAACAATGTCATCCTGAATGGTGTGTTCACCATCAGATTTATCATCTATGGTATCCTCATCAAAACGTAAAATATTAGAAGGCTTTGTGTTATACTTCCAAAAGCCACCACGAAGAAAACCAGAATCAATGTCTGGTTTACTTCTAAATACAGGCGCAGTAAAAAGATCCTGTGAATAGGTTGGTATTTTCTGAAAACAGAAGAGACTAGTAGTGAGTTAATGGAATCCAAGAATGATACAAGAAAAGATGCTTCCAAAATGTAACTCTACCTCTGAGATATTGAAGAAGCTTTCGTTTATATCACAGCTTAGCACAGATTGAATGGCTTTGGCACAAGCCAGGACCACAGAATTATGATTATCATCAAGAGATATTCTACGATACATAAAGGGTATCAGGAAACATTCTAGACCAAATCAAAGTTTCCGGCTCATAGGAGAACATTCTCACTTACATATTCTTAAGAATAAAAATGATTCAGAGAGAGAGAGTAATTATGCACACATATTGGCATACAAAAAGACGAAAAGGTGCATTATACATACATAATGAAACATTGACTTTATATTAAGGCAGAAGCTCTGGAGCCACCATTACATTGAGAAGCTTAGGGTTAAAATCACTTTCTTGTTTGAACATAAACAGAACTTGGTGACCCTTATAGCACCATAGATCTTTGAAAAGGTTATCCTACACCCACTCGACCCCTCTAAGCAGAGTTTGTTAAACACCATACATAGAAGCAGAAGATCATGTAATGCATAGAGGCAATGCAATACCAGAGAACTCAAATTTTCACGTGCAAGATATCAAATTGGTAATATTTTATTCAGTTATAACGGAGTTGCAAAGATAGAAATTTGACGAAGATTCAAGAAGTGACTTCTACATCAGATTTAGAATAATTGGAACCATGGGTTGGAGATTATTTGAATCTAACAGAGACAGATCTGAAAAAAAATTAGTTAGACGAATAATCCAATAACTAGAAATGAAACTATAAATAGGAAGCCTTCAAAGTTTACCTAAGTGATAAAGCAAGCTCAGGTTCAGGACCAAGGACAAAAGCCCATATAGCCTCCCAGTCAATAGACTCATCAGACTCAGCAAACTTCATATTACAACCAACTTGATGTTGGTATATACTGCAATTTGCCTTATCAAGGATAGATGCAATCAGATGTAAAGCAAGAGCTCTTTGCCCTGGAACCTGAAAGGAGTTCCAAAAGAAGTCCAACATATATTACTCTGGAAGAATATGATAGATTTCATGCAACGAAAGAAAAATAAGTAGTTCTGAGGTGCCAACAACAATTTTAACTGACCACACTTCTAGTTAGAGCCACTGCTTCTTTGACGGTGTAACCAGCAGCACCAGGGTCACCTTCAGTTCGAAGAAAATCACGTTCAGAGACGTTATCTGCACTATATCCACTATGAACTTGCTTAGTACCTACAGTGAGATTACAGAAAAAAGTATCAAGATCTATAGGCAGGCACTTCATCTAAAAGTAACAAGAAAGTATAATAGATCCATATTACATAGATTCAGAAGAACCCAATGCAAGGGGAAAAAATTTCATGTTGGAGAAAAAGAAGGCACATGATTCAAAAGAAACCAAAATGAAATACTTTTGCAAAGTAACGGAGAAAATACATGTTCAAATATTTAAAGTCAGTCTGGAAAAGAAGAAAACCGATAGAGGTCCCCAAAAGGGTAGGAGTTGTTTACCATTTTTGCACTTGCACTTAAATCAAACTTCTACTTAAACTCGAGCAAATCTGAATGGATTGACATAGAAATCTTGATCAATTTCTAATGGTAAGAAACATAAAAGTTGCTAATGAGTTTATAAAGATTGAGCATTTTAGATTTTAGAACGTTTCTGGAAAAATTTACTTCACTTAAGATGTCTAACGTGTCAACTTCATAAATCTAAAATCTGGTTTTGATTTGAAGTTGAAATAAGCTGAAAGAACTTCAGACTTTTAACACTATGCCTCATACATCCAAAGTTGAAGGAAATTGGGGCATCCCATAGGTTAATCATAACTACAAAGCTGGAGATGACCATGAACCTAATACAGGAGTTCTAGACTCAGAGAGATATCCTACATGAAGTCCAGTCAAAGCTTGGAGAATAACTGTGAAAGATTTCAATATCAACCAAACCACTGCAAACGTATGAATGAGTTCTAGATCTTGAAAGCACATACAATGACATTAGAAAGGCTATCAATAAGAGACTGAAATTCATGAAAGGAACACAATATGGCATATTTGCTAAGTAAAAGTTACTTTCAATATTAAGAAGCAAGGTTAATAGAATAGTGATCATGGTACTGAAAGGAGTAGAATAAGATTAACAAGAAGTCCTTTAGCTTTACCAGCGTCTAATATCTGAGCAAAATCAGGTTTAAAAACGTCCCCATCCAAGCTAAATCTTAGATCTCTGACATGCTCAACTCTTTTGCTCCAAGAATCCCACAAGCTGCTACCTTTTGAGCTCAAATTTGGGACGACCTTATTATCTTTATCTATCAGTGAGTCTGCAGAAGCAGCTTTCTGAACATCATGGGAGCTACTACTAGCACCAGACATTGCAGGTTCGTTAATCAGATTTTTCTCTTTTTGCTCAGTGCCTGATGAGCCATTAGAACCCATATCTGAGACAGAAATCTTCTGTTTCTTCAACTTGTCCTGGCCCCTTTTTCTTAATGCGTTTATTAATTTTGGACTCATCTTTGTCATTATCTCACTTTGAGCCTCTGCTATCTCATCAGAGGACATTTTCTCCAATCGAGCACGATTCTCAAGATCAATTTGACTTTCAAGACTTGTGGCCGCTTGTTTATCTACCAATTTATCGTAACCAAAACTAGAATCAAAATGTGTTGTTGGCCTGCATTGCATCTCCATATCCACGTCAATATCTTTAATTGGCCTATTCAGCAATTGAGGCTCAATATTCCCCTTAATACCTTCCCGATCTTCAATGATTCCACTCCTTGGCCTTTCCTTTGTTTGGACAAAATTCTCAGCAGCACTATGTTTAAAGTTACTTTGTCCGTCATCTATGGCCATGGCCAACACGTCTTGCCTTTTCTCTTTGACCTCTTCTGGGATTATGGAAACCTTGTCCTCCATAGTCACGTCCTTCTCTTTTGCATCAAAGTCAGCTCTAGTTAACGGGGCATCATCCTGAGTAAGGATCCACCTGCCTGAGCCATCAGAATTTTTATAATTCGCTTCTTTACCCCCTTTCCACTCGTTCGACCCAATTAAATACCCCTGCCTTTTCTTCTCATGGGGAACAGAACCACCATTATTGTTCACTGTCTCTCGCAACCAGCTAAAATCCAAACCTTTCTTCTCTTTCCTTTGTACTGGATTTGCAAAAGTGGCAGCCATGTTCATCCCAGTAAAATCTTGCTCCTCTTCCTCATCTTCATCATCAATACCATTAGAACCCCCAACCTTTGCAGACCAATGCTGTAAAAGATAAACAAATAGCCAAAATATCTCATTGTTGTCTTTATAGCTTTCAAAGTATTTCAGCACTTCTACATATAACTAGAAATACATAATACATTATGTGACAACAGGCCAAGTAATGTTAAACCCAAAAGTTAGAAACTTCAGGATAATTTAAACATCAGAACATAGTTTTGGGTATAGGCAGTAATTGCATGAGCAATCCTCTTAATCCTCCCCTCCAGTGTAGATGATTGGAAAAAAGGAAATGGCAATAACATTAAACACTTGGCAAATAATCGCCAAATTCCCATGGCCGTAAACTCAACTTATTTCTTTGTTAACAGGGAGCAAACCTTTACCTTTTTTTTTCTTTTTCATTTCTTCTAATTCGAGCAGCAACGCTGATTATACTAAAAAATAATGAAAAAGCATGAAAGAAACGAAAAAGGTATAAAGAAGGGGATTACTGGGCCATGAGAACGGTGGCGGGCCACCGGAAAAGGAAGAACGGTTGGGCGAGGCGCGTACGATGGTCCTGTTGACCTGAACTGAGAATTATCTGAAAAACCCTTTTCGACTATGCCTCCAACAAGGCTTAAAGCATCGTCTTCACTAATTTGCTGTGTTCCAAAAATCTTCCTTACCGTGGGTTTTGTGGGTTGGGTTTTTTCCAGTTCATTCTCTTTCTTCTTCATTTCTCTGTTATTCTGAATTAGATTTTCTCAATATATATATTGATACAGTAATACCCAGTCTTCTTCCGTAGCGGTTGCCGGGCGGCGAGAAAAGAACTTCGATATTTGACTAGACTACGGCGGCACGGCCAATAAAAATTCTGAAATTCTGAAAATATTTGCCTCGTTAATCTTTGCAATGTATGGAGTTATTTGAACAACATTATTTTCAAAAAAAAAATACATTAAAATATTTCAATCATACATTTTTTAATAAAATAATATTATACGTAAATTTAAAAATTTTGCTTTTTTTTTAGCCACAATTTTTCATTGATTTGACATGAATAATACATTTTTTTCTAGAATATGACTCAAACATGGACTATACATTTATATTCACGCCACTATGTTTTTGGGTACTTTTCAAAATAACTACGTCAAATCACCACTTTGTCACATTGACAACCTTTTTTTGCCATTCGCCAAGAGAGCATTTTGAAGAATAAATGTCATTTTTGTCCTTATTATATTTTTTAATTACAAAAACATATCATTTATTCAAAAAACAATAATATCATCATTTAAAAAATTAATAAACTCAAACGCTCCCACTTAAATTTCAAAACGAACCCACTTTCCTTATCAGATTCTCCAACACAGTTAAAAAGAAATTTTCTCTTCCATCTACTTGAACATTGAAATCTCACAAGATTATCAAAGGTTCAACAAAAAAATATTACTTACAGCCGGCATCAAAATTGTTAAGTATAAATACGTATTTTTAATTTCATTTTAGTTAAATTAGTACATCGTTTGAATTTTTAAATCTTATTTCAACGTATAAATTTAAAAGGATAAATTATTACAATGGATGTATAATTTTTTTTTTATCAAAAACGAGGAAAAAAATTTATTTGTTCAGTAAAATTTAACACAAAATCGAAAAAGCAGAGAAAGACGGTCAACCAGATCATTCCGGGCCGAATATTTAACATCCGGCCCAGATCCTCCGGGCTATTTTATCCTTTTTTTCCATTTTTGTCTTGCCTAGCATATTGTTTTCCTCCTTTTATCCCCCTAATTACAATTTTTTTAATAAAATGATATTTTCTAATATAGATATGAGATCGGCTGGTGTCCCGATTTGTTACTTTAGTGAATTTGAAAAGAATAAAAATGATCGATGGGTGTGAAAATTGACGAGTGAAAGACATGGTTGTACTGCAATTGTGATAACATCAAGTACATCATATGCAGAAATGTACAATGTGATATAGAACTTGCTCAAAGTCGATCCCTCTGAGTACGACATAGAATTGGGATTTCTAATGGGCGAGCATACATCCATTTCAATTCCACATAAAATGGTTACTTCTAAAGTTGAAATGAAAGTTTAATTAAAATGAGTCAGAAACGTGCGATTCCTATTTGCGTAACTTTGATGAAGAAGAATGTCCCCGAGAGTAAACACGAAGATTTCGATGGAGGTGATCATAATGTGAATGAGTTTTGGGACACGGTGGAGATAGTTCGGGATGATGTTGTGGCTATTCCAGAGACAATTGCTCCTCACCATGATCTCACTGTTACGCATAGAAATTGCTTGGTGGTTGAAGATAACAAAAGAGATAATAACTTTACAAATGAGAATTTAATTGCTTTATTCCGTTCGAGACATGAGTCGAATGGGAACTCACAGGCTGAACCGAGTGCATGATTCTCAAATTGTTCGCGTGTAGTCCCCAATAATGAAAATTTGTATGTCATGCAATTGTTTGACACGAAGAAATATTTGCAGGAAGCTGATCACCGAATTGCTGTGAAACACAATTTTGAGTTAAAGTGAAGAAATCAGACAAGTTAACTTACGCAATTGTCTACGTTGACGACGGTTACCTTTAACGTTTGCGAGCGACAAAAATAAACATGAATGAGTTCTTTGTAGTTTGTAAGTATGCATGGGAATATACTTGCGAAATGAGTACTCGTCAAAATGATTGCAAGCAAATCCGATCATGGTTCATTGGTCGAGAAGTGATGCACAAGTTTTAGGATCCACGAACGATCTATAGACTTTCGGACAACATTAATGACATTCGTCAAGAGTATGGGGTGGTCATGAGCTATCAGAAGGTTTGGAAGGTCAAAGAATGCGCATTGGAGAACTTGATGAGTTCAACCGATGAGAATTATGCTAAATTGACCAGTTATTTCTTTGTTTAGACGTTTATATAATATTTATTTTAATTGTTAATTATTTATTAAATTGTTTATTTAATGTCTAATTAATTATTTATTTCAATTATTTAATCAATTGCTTATTTAATGTCTAATTAATTATTTAATTCAATTGTTAATTTTTCAGTTTATTTAATATTTAATTAATTATTTAAATTATGATTATTGTTCATTTAATTTGGTCAGGTTTTGCTATAACATGGAAAGAATTACTACTGGATCGGTATTTTTTTATCGAGGATGATGATGAGATATGATTCAAGAACTTTTCTATAGTTCTTGGACAATGCGTTCGAGAATTTCAAAACGCAATGCGACCCTTAATCCTAGTCGACGGTATAACCCTTAAGGCGAGATACGAGAGCAAGTTGATTATTGCAACATGTCAAGATGCCAACATCCAAATTTACCATCTTGCATTCGACATAGTCGATGGAAAAAATGATCTAGTGACACGTTGCTTTTTAACGAAGTTGAGGGAAGCAATGGGGATGTCGAGAATCTTGCATGCGTAACCGATCGAGGGCAGTCAATAATTAACGGTATCGCCGAAATCTTTCCAGAGGCACATCATGGTTATTGTGTACCATATACAGGGACACATAAAAATCAAAGATCGAGACAAGGGCATCGTTACGTTGTTTAAGAAAGTTGCAGAGGCTTACAATTTTCAAGAGTTTGAAACGTTCATGGTCAAAATAGAAAAGTAAATCCTATAATGTATGGGAGTATCTAACAGAGATGGTGATCGAACATTGGGCATGATCACATTTTTCAAGATATCGATACAACATGATGACGTCGAATAATGTAGAGTCGTTCAATGTCTTACTCAAGAAGGATCGAGAGTTACTAATTCTCGCAATCTTGAGAACATTCGTGACAAGTTGCAATAGTGGTTTCATGATCGACGTGAAGAATCACAGAGTTGCACAAGTGTGATAACCCCGTCTTAGGAAGATAATCTCTTCAGGATTCTAGAGGTGGTAAGAAAGGTATATGTAGAACTACTAGATCAGTTTCGCTTCTTCGTGAGATGTGCACATAATTTCGGATACATTGTTGACTTGAATGATAACACGTGCACATGTAGACAGTTTCAATTCGAGAGTTTTTCTTATACACATGTAGTGGCAGTGGTATATATAGAGGAATTCAACCACACACCTTATGCAGTGCTTATTACACGACTAGCTTTTGGAGAGTAGCGTATGTCGAAACCATATTTCCTATACCGAATGAAGTCGAGTGGGAAGTTTTTTATCATATTCTCTCATTGAATAACTTGTTGCCACTAGCAGTCGGCCCACATACTGCTGGACGTACACGTTCGTCTAGAATAACATCGACCGAAAAATTTCTCCTGTCTCGTAAGTGCAGCAGGTATGATGCAAAATGACATATTAGAAGATTTTGTACAAATCATATCCATCTGCATGACAACGTAAGAGATGTGTAATTGAAGTTTATGTAACATTATTTATAACATTGATGTTAATTATTAGGTTTAATTTTTTTATTTTTATATTTCATTAATTAGTTTCGTAATATTTGAATTTTTTTCAAAACATAATGTGTTTTCCACAATATACACAAACATCATAAATATATTGTGAAACATTTAAATAAACACATAAACTACAAAATAAATAATTAAATTTTAAATAAATAATACACATTTTATAATTATTTCGTAATTACAAATAAATGAATGAAATATACAATGATTAAATGTTATAATATGTACAATTATTTTAAAAAAAGCACGGCTCCAATATATACAGATCACCATTAAATTCAAATAAATCACATGCTAATTTATTTATCCAATTTTATATCCATGCCTGGTTGATTGTATCAACCTTCTGTGTTACACTAAAAACTTCTATGTACTTGATGACGAACATGCCGCAATCACCTCTATAATTAAATAATATTATATTAGCACATCAATGTCTAACTAGAACGTAAATTGTAAATTTACAAAATAAAATTACAAACACTTACTATATTTGTTGCCTCGTCGCCGTCGTCGTGTCCCGCACGGTGACCAGTGTGTCATGCACAGTAATGTTCACTCATCTAACCAGCATGGGAACAATCATGGACATCAATTCCAGATTTTGCTCGAACTGACCTTATGTCAGGCATGAATGATCGGGGTTGTACACATACACAGTCGAGTCGACGAATACTATCTCCACTGCAATGTAGTGATAATTCACCCACACCTATATGTACAGATGCGTACAACCCTCCCATGGCTTTCCCCCGACACTTGGCCACATCTCTACGACCCGCTCCATCATGTATGTAGGCACCGTGTACTCGTTACCTATAGCTTGGAGCGTTTGGTACTCAATGTCCACGGCACGTATGAACTCGATGTTCAATATGAGTCGACAGAAATATTGAACGATCTAGGATGTCTTTCAGCTCGATCTCCTAGCAAATTCATGGCGAAATCAATGTACTGCTTCAGGAAACACCAATTAAAAAAGAAGTTATTTAATTTCATAAATTCAAATTTCAAAAAATGTATACATAATAAATAATAATATTACTACTTAACTTACATCGTTGGCGAGCTAAGCGCCGAAGTGGTGATGTCGTGAAATCACTTGTAAACTTAGAGATCATTTTATGAGCAATACTGCAACTAGCTCTGAAAAAATAAGAAAAGAAATTATTAAAAGAAGTATAGATGTATCAGCGTCTACTACATACTAATCATTAACGAATAATACAATACTTACCTGTGTCTAATTGTTCTTTACTCCGTCTCGAACGATTTCCATTTAGTATGGTCCACCTCCCTGAATAAATTGGGGTGCGAGCCATCGACGAACCTCCCCCTCTTCGCCTTCGCGGTAAAGGAAGAAACGACGTATTGTGATGACACCATCGGCCTCTTGTCGACCACCAGTTTCGGCATGTCAACAGCAAACAGCACCCTCCCGACCTCCGGTACCCCCTCACTTACCATTGGGATCACCTCCTTCGTCCCCTTCGACACAAAAATTACGTCCAACGAGTCTGGCGTTCGAGATGGTACCTGCTCCACTTTCGGTACCCCCTCAACCTCGGGTACCGCATCTTTCTCTGCCACCCTTACGCTCTCCGCCACAGTTACCCCTTTCTCTTCCGGCATCCTTCCGACCTCTGTCTCGGGTATCCCTTTCTCCTCTGGCACCCTCATGATCTCCTCCTTCGGTACCCTCTCCACCTCGGGTACTTCCTCCGCCTCCACCTCCGTCTCCATTAGTGCCCGATCCTCCATCTCAATCTCCATCGGGCCACCGAAAAATGAAGCTAATGCATCATCCGATGCCCATGACGAGTAAACATACCCCATCTGACCCTTCGCCCCCGATAACCACCGGCACCTCCATCACCCTCTTCATCCCGATAGCCACCAGTCCCTCTGTCACCCCTTCCATTCCGATATTCGCTAGTCCCACCCTGATGCTTGCCAGTCCCACGCAGGCTTGCTATGTCGTCTCATATCGCTACGACCTCAGCATGAAGGTCTCCTAAACCGACTTGTACCATCTCGACAGGGGCCTTAAGCAAGATCGATGTAATATCTCCGCGTGCTCCTCGTCCAATGATTCCAACACTACTGTGAAGCCAAGAACCTATCTCATGACGGCGTCCAAATGGTAATCCATCCTACAAAATTTTAAATATTAAAACATTGTTAATTGAAAATGGATAAAACATAATGTCACAAAATAACAGATAATGGAATAAAAAAATGAGCGTAATTAAAAATTAGACAACAAATTATAAAAAGCGAAAAACTTATCTTTGTAAAATTATTTATTTATAGTTTATTTTAATTCTTTATTATCTATTTCAATTCTTTATTTAATTTGTTTCAATTGTTTATTTACTGGTTATTTAAATTATTTTTTAAACATTTAAACTTAAATATTTAATTATTTATTTCAAATTTTAGATATTTATTTCATTTGTCTATCTCAATTTTAATTACTTATTTTGATTATTTATATTTATTTTTTATTTAATTAATTATTTAAATTATAATTATTGTTTGATTGAAATTGTTTATTTAATATTTAATTACTAATTTTGATTATTTATATTTAATTGCGTATTTAAATCAAATATTTTGAATATTTATATTTCTTGGTTATTTATATTGTTTATTTATTATTTAAATGTTCATTATTTATTTCAAATATTTATTTAAATTATTTATTTAACATTTATTTTAATTGTTTGTTGAATGCTTAATTTTAATTATTTATTGTAATTGTTTATTTAATTATAGTCGTCGGTTTATGTAAATTATTTGTTTTAATTATTTATTTCAATTGATTATTTAAATTACCGTCTGGAAAAGACAGCCCCCTGTACGCCAGCTGTCGGATATCACCATTTTCAATGATCTCCGGCCCAAAAAACCACCAAAATGCCACATTCAATAATTTCATATATTCTACAAAGATTTTTACCAGTATTTTCAACAAAATAAACCTTCAACATCATTGTTCAAAGACTAATGGGAGGAAGAAAAAGCAAAACTTACCTTCTTCGTGAGGAAGTGGTAGCCGGTCGGTCACCTTCTAAGAAAAGAAGTCGATTTTCTTGCTATTTCCTCTCCTTCAGACGTCGGTGCGAGTGATTTATGTTAGGAACAATATTGACTTTTCATTGTTTTTAAGGTTTTTAAAGATTTTTTATTTTTTTTAAAATACCAAAATGGTCGTTTCTTGTGGTTATCTGCCACAATTTCCTCCTATGTTTTTCCCATACTCGCTATAGTCGAGTTAATTGTTCCAACGATCACTGAATTTAGGTTCATGTCTTTGATTGATCACTATAGTTTAAAATATCGAGTTTTGGTTATTGAACTTAGGTTTATGTCTTTGATTTTTCACTGAACTTAGGTCGATGTTTTCGATTACTCACTGATGTTTAAAATGTCGAGTTTTGGCCACTGAACTTTGAAATATGCAGTACGTTACTTACTAGCATAACTGTTGAACTTTGAAAAATATCAAGTTTATAGTGAGTAATGTATAATATTTTTAAAAATTCAGTAAGTAATGTATAATATTTTTCAAAGTTCAGTGGTAAAAATCAGTGGCCAAAACTCGACATTTTAAAATTCAGTGAACAATCGAAAACATGGACCTAAGTTCAGTTACCAAAACTTGACATTTTAAATTTTAGTGACCAATCAAAGATATAGAACTAGGTTTGGTGATAAGTTAATTGTTCCAATGGTCACCGAATTTAGGTCCATATTTTTTATTGGTTACTGAAATTTAAAATATCGAGTTTTGGTCACTGAACTTAGGTCAATATCTTTGATTGGTAACTGAAATTTAAAATGTCGAGTTTTGACTATTGAACTTTGAAATATGTCCTATGTTATTTACTAGCATAACTGTTTGAACTTTGAAAAATATCGAATTTACAGTGAGTAATGTACAACATTTTTCAAGATTCAGTAAGTAATATACAACATTTTTCAAAATTTAGTGGCCAAAACTCGACATTTTAAATCTCAGTGAGCAATCAAAGATATGGACTTGAGTTCAATGGCCAAAACTCGACATTTTAAATTTCAGTGACCAATCAAATATATTGACCCAAGTTCAGTGGCCATTGGAACAATTAACTCCTCAATTTTTAAGGATACATTTATGCAATAAAATATTATGTGAATCCATAAATTTTATAATTTAACCATATATTTTTCAAAAAATACAATTCAAAACTTTATTTTTTAAATTTTAAGGCTGCCAAACAAGGGCTTATTTTCAATTGCAATACATTCTTCTAATAAAATAGTTTCACAAATAAATCTATAATTTTCCTACTTTCAACTATACATTCGTAAAAAATCACATTTCACAAAATCTATTCTCAGAAAACTAAATCAAACGAGCCATAAAAATATTTAATTTTATTTGTCTAAAAAAATCTTTAATTTTTGTTCATGATTATATATATATATATATATATATATAACTTTTTCCGTACATTCTTATTATTAAACTTTAGTAAATTTTGTCCGTATTTGCAGTTTTCGAGAATTCGAGTTGCATACTTTAAAACATAATTTATTTTGCTAATTAAAAATACAATAAGTAAATAAATCTTTTCACTCTCATTCAACGGAATTTTTTAACATAAATCATCATCGAAATAAAATATGTTAATCAATGAACAATTAAATATAAGAAAATAATGATAAAAATTGAAGACACAAGTGTGATAGCGACAACATATACTGAACTTTTCATGCAATTAAAATTTAGTGCCATTGTACATAAATAGAATGTGAATATATGTATGTGAAACGTCTTATTTCACTTTGATATTGATATTATAAAGGTTTTATGACAAAATTTTAGCAAATTTTGATAAAACATAAGATCAAAAATTTAATGAAAGCTGTGAGTCCATAAAATTGGATTAAAATTGCTTTTGATCTCAACTTTTTACCTATTTTTTAAGTATTTCCAAACAAGCACTAAGAATGATGATAAATTTGTCGTTAATATAAGATAATGATAGATTAATTGCACAAAAATATGAACTTGCGGATCAAAATTGCATTTGAGAGGTCCTTAGAACCAATAAGCAATTTTGTTGGGGGTTTCAAATTCTTTTCGTTATACATTTTGTGGCGTACTTCTTCTTCTTCTTCTTTATATTCTTCAAACCTTTTATATGCTTTAATTTATAATCATCTTGTTTGAGCCCCATTCTTTAGGGAAAAATTCTTTTTTAAACAATGTTTTCACATCTTTCAACAACACATTCTTCAATAAAAAATATTACACGCAAATTCAAAAAATTTTCTTATTTTTTAACCACACATTCCACATCATAACGCTATTCAAAAATGCATCTTCTTGACAAAAATGGGGCTCAAACAAGGGCAATATCATTTTGTAATTTAACTTTTGTTTGTTTGTTTATCAGTATCATTATTCATGAAAGTTTTAAATGATTTCTTGAATATGATGGTTTACTATGCTGATTTTGTAGCGATATGTGTAACTTGAGGGAGTAGATGTAGGGGTATTAATTGAGCTAGAGGCTGAGCCATCAAAGCTCAATTTATGAACTACTCAAGCTCGTGCAGGGACAAGGTTGACCCAAATTGAAGGTTTGGAACGACTAGCTGAGCTCTCGGCTCATAACTCATGGCTTGTGGGCTTACCCATAAGCTCGGCGAGCCAAGGAGCAGTCACAATTTTTTTCTAAAAACTCTATAAATACTTCCCATTTTAATCAATTTTTCAAAAAAATTATCAATAATCTATCTTGTGCGTTTTATAATTCGAATTACCCACTCTCAATTTAATTTTCTCGTAAGTTATTTCATTATTATTCAATCATCAATCTATTTAATTCATCTATTATATTTCTCATTATTTATATATTTTCTTTTATCTCAATTTTATACTTCATCCATTACAATCTTTACTTATATGTAATATTTTTACATTTCAATTTATTTTGAGGGCTTGTTTGATGGCAAATCACCATTGACGCTACAATCTCAATTTCAGAATGAGTTTTTCAATTTCAACATCTCCATTCACAACGATTTGGAAGTTGACAATGTGCATGGGAGTAGTCATTCAATTATTTTGGATGATATTAATAAAAAAGTGAAGCTGTGGAACAGAATTCAAAATAACTGATGCAAGAGGAAAGAGAAAATCTACAAATCTACAGTGTTAAGAATATTTCAAATTGATTTCTATGGCTTATAGAGTCGACAGAGGCCAAGAATGTAAAGTAATTTGTAAATATTGTCAAACAAGATTGACATGGTAAAAGAAAATCGTTTGCACAACGATTCTATGAAAATGTTCGTCGAACACCCTCCACATCCGTTACCGCTAATCTTAAAGAAGATGATGAGAAAATATTAGATTTATTTACAGAATTTAAGGATAAAAGATTCGATGCAGATTCTTCTAGTATCTCTTTTGTATATAATCAATGTACATTGGACGTAGGTATAGCTAAAATCTCTGCAGAATTAAATAGATATTTTAAGCATCAAATGCTTAGGGTCATAGATCCAGCTGATACAATGACATTTGATTTATTTGATTTTTGGAGACGTCATGAACGTAGATATTCTATTGTTTCAATTGTTGCATGTGATCTACTAAGACCTTCCATTCATCGGAGTCTATTTTTAGTGCAAGTGGTAGAGTTTTGTCCGATTCAGAAAGAAAATATTTTGGAAAGCTTAATGTGTATAAAGGATCGACAAGACGTACATTATTGAATGCAGTCGAAATTGTCTGCAATCAAGGAAATGATATTTAATTTCAATTTATTTATATCTTAATAATATATATACATATATATTAAATTACACGTAACAAGTTGTTCGAATATAATTTTAACTCCATTTACTTGAAAATTAAGTAACTGATTCCAAATGCCAACCAAAAAAAAATAAAAATAATAATAACAATAAATAAAGAGTAGGATTTTTAAAAATAAAAAGTAAAAAAATTGGTGAGCTCGTGAACAATAGGCCCAAGCTGGCTCGACTCATTGCCATGTCTAAGTAAATGTAATTGACAATGTAAGTGGAATAATTATTTTTTTACATAATTTGTCCTATATTTTATTATTTTTTTCTCTAGAGTTAGTAGCAATAATATTGTCTTCAATCACATTACATATACATTTTGTTTGACATCATTTTTGACATTGTATCACGTGTCGGAACATGATTGGATAGTCCAACACTATTTGAATTTCTTCACAATGTCAAAAAAGGTGTACATCATGAAAATGGACACTTGACATAATTCTATTGTCTTTTGTGTTGAAAATATGTTGTTCAAAATCAATTAACACGTGTATGGAATGGAAGGAACAAAAGTAGAATACAAATGAAAACTGAAGGCTAAAACATTGAACCATGCGACGCATGTGTGGTATGCTTGGGAAGAACCTGTGCGGTCGCATAGGTTTACTCTATGCGACCGCATAGGAGAAACAATTAACCGTTAGGGAAGTTTTTTAATTCAATTTTGGCGACTTTTCGTGTGTTTTTTGGTATCACTTCGTATGGCTTTATTTCATGGCTATAAATAGGTGCTTGATAATCATTGTAAATACATGAGAAACATATGAAAACATATACTTCATTCCACAAAAGGATCAATCTTCCTTTCTTCCATATTCAAGTAATTCCTTCTTGTGTTCTTCAAGTTTAGACGGAAAAACATTTATGTTTAGTGTTTTTCTGCAACAAGGCTTGATTAATCCTACGGTTCATTTTCCGTAAAACCCTTAAAGCATCTCGTATAATTCGGAGAGTGGGCAAATATCGTTCGAGGATAGCAAGATTATTTTCCTGTTTCAATCTCTACTCATTTCATCTTCTTGATATTTTGCTTCTCAATTATTTTCTCCAAACTCCTTGATGTTGAGAGTTTTTCAACAATCTCGAACGATATTTTGTGTGATGGAGAACGAAATCACAATGGCAACGATCAAGTTGATGATTCAAGATCTTGTTTGGATCATTTTGATGGGACGAATTCTGCAAAAGTAATCTGGAACATTTGGGACAAAATATTTCCGTTGAAAAATGAAAGGATTGAATCCAGTTTGGTAAGACGAAATCGTGTTTGATCTTCGCACATTCAAAAGGTATGTTTGTGAATATAATATGTATATGTTTCATAAAAAATATTCACCGTTTCGCTGATAATCACTTTATTCCAATTCTGTATGCATGCATTCTGCCAATTGCCGACTATTGTAGGATATGTTGAATGGCATGTGTTAAAAGTTTGTTAAAGATGGGACAAGCCAAACATTAATTGACATTTAATTAGACACACGCCTGTAAATACTCTTGCACTCAATGCATGTGTTTGTTGAAGAAAATCACTCTGTCATGCACAATGTTTATCCTTTCTAATTGTTACCATGGTTGAATGGTGAAAAATGGTGGGTAATGGACAAAAATCTTTCCTACCAAATGCCGATTGATTTGTTCATTTTTGACTGGTGACTGTTCATTGTCTTCAATGCATGGCTACCAATGACTATGAATTTGAACAAGTGCTTGGGGTGACTTTAGAATTCTTTTTAATGCAATTTAAACCAATTGTATCTTTTTGGCCGGTGACTGTTCAGTAATGCGAAAGGAATCCAATGTTAATTTCCAATTCATTCCTTGAGTAATCTAACGTCAAATTGATTATCCCTAATAAAGTGACATGTATATTTAAATGGGATCTTTATATTAGTCACCAGTAAAACTCCAATGGTGTTTACGGTTGAGGTGCCTGTTTGCACAAAAAATTATGTATATATATTTTATATATAAATAAATTGATAATGACCAATAACCTATTTTGAACAAATGCATGGATGAAATCTATGTTCTTTTGTTTGAAGAATATTTGAAATATATCATTCGCACTTGCTCACTTGAGGATGCATGTTTGGCGTCTACCCATATGGTCAAATAGGCCAAATTTTGATGATAAATTAATTTAAGGTGGAAATTGCTTGCATAATTATTGGGATATGGAAATATTTTATGAAGGACAAATGATGTCCACAGTCGGCGATGATGCCGGATATATTTGGAAAAATAAAATCTTATACAGAATTATATTTGCACATGACAAAAATGTGATCTTGTCCAAATGAGATTAAGGTAAATATGTACCTTATTATTTTATGATATGGTGCTATCTTTCGAAAGTAATAAATTGAATTTGATTGGAGAAATTGTAATTCTTGTAAATCAAGATGGTTGATCTTATTCGTTGATGAATTTGACCTCAATTATGAAACTAATTGAGTTGGTTTATGCTTGAAAAATATTGTCGGTCTATGAGATGACTTTGATCAAATTGTGTGATCAAAATTAAAGATAGTAAGTTTGAAGCACATAGTGACCTAACGACTACTATCTGATAATAGCTAAGCTTTCACGAATATTTTTTAAGTGATAAGCGAAATGAACTATGAAAGAGTTAATAAACTCTCGGTTCAAGTATAATACCAAATGTAGGGGTTAACATATTGATGAACTCTATGTTCAAATATAACCCGAAGTGTGCGGGTTAACATTAAATGCTTGTGAATTTACATGAGAAGTTCAAAGACTTGTGGATGCAACATTTCTAAATTGCATATGCATTTCTAATTAAGGAATTGTGGAGGTAAATTATTTTAAAAGGTTACTAATACTTTCTAATAATAGAAAAATATCTATGAAGGAGAAAAGTTAGAAAATCCTTTACAAGGATAAATAAACCAAGCCTACGTGGATGAATGGATCATGGTACTTGCAAAACCAATGGGAATATTTAAATATCATTGAAATAAATCAATGATGAGAGTCGAATACCCATATATGATATCCACTAGCAAAAGTGATTTACTAGTGTAATGATTTGATAAAAATCTTTCAACCATGTTTGAACATCAATAAAGATTTAAATAAAGCTAGTGAGAAGCATGTAGCTTCATAAAAAATTTCTTGATGGTGACAAGTTGTATCTATTAAATTAATCGATCATTTGCTAGCTACATTTAATAAAGATACTAAGTCACACATAATGAAAAGTCAAGTTGCATAAGTCTTAGATGTGAGTTTGCAAGGAAATTATTAAAGATGAAAGAATTTTCACAGAGAATTTAGCCGATACTTTAAATTAAAGCTCTAAATAGAAATTTAGAGGCGTATACTTTGAGTAAGATGGGTTGGAACTTCGAAGCTGAAAAGGTCCACCAATGATGGCACCCTACTGTCACTGCTCAAAAGATAATTCATAGATTCAAATGGTAGCAACAAGTCATTCAATATGTGGATAGTTGCAGCATTATTAAAATTCGCAATAATCATATCCTAATTAAAATAATGCTGGTTGTTACTGAAATGGGAGTTGAGTTTTATGCTCTTAATGAAGTTCAGTACTAAAACAAAAGTATTTCTAAAAGTAACAAAAGTACTGGAAGAACTTTACCTAGATGAACTTCGAGGTGGTACCGCCTCAATTGAGAGTTGGTGTATCTATTATAAAAGTTTGTCGAATAGGATGAGGGCAAGACTATAATAGCGCTAAGAGAGTTTGAGGAACTTGAGAATACGTAATACTCGTGTGTGTGTCCTTACCGATATTGTCACATGGAGACACTGGTTCAAAGCTTCATGCTACCTGTGATTCCGACTTTACTTTGTTTGGATTGTACTATGGTTAGATTCAAATCGAAAGATATATAATCCTTACACGTGAGTATTGTATACTTTAATATGAGAGTTTATTGAAATTTTGAACAAGGGAAGAATTGTTGGAAATATGTTGTTCAAAATCAATAAACACATGTGTGAAATGGAAGGAGCAAAAGTAGAATACAAGTGAAACCCGGAGGCCAAAACATTGAACCAGGTGCGGTCGCATAGGTTTACTCTATGTGATTGCATAGGAAAAATAGTTAACCGTTAGGCAGTTTTTTGATTCAATTTTGGTGACTTTTCATTTTTTTTTTTTTGGGCACCACTTCGTATGGCCTTATTCCATGGCTATAAATAGGTGCTTGAGAATCATTGTAAATACATGAGAAACACATGAAAACATATACTTCATTCCACAAAAGGATCAATCTTCATTTCTTCCATATTCAAGTAATTCCTTCTTGTGTTCTTCAAGTTCGTGGTGGAAAAACATTTATGTTTTAATGATTTTTTCGCAATAAAGCTTGATCAATTCTACGAATTGTTTGCCGTAAAGTCTTTGAAGTATCTTGTATAATCCGTAGAGGGGGGTAAATGTCGTTCGAGAATAGCAAGATTATTTTCGTGTTTAAGTCTTAAGTGTTTAAGTCTTAAGCCTTATATTTTGTTTCGATCTCTACTCATTTCATGTTCTTGATATTTTGTTTCTCGATTTTCTTCTCCAAACTCCTTGATGTTGAGAATTTTCCAACAATTTGTAACAAAGGACATCGAAACAACTAGAGGAAAATTGAAACGGACTCAATCTAGGTACGTGATTTAATATATTAGTTCACGTTGTCCTTTGAATTTGATTTGACCATGTTCAGTTGAACTTTTATATAATCTTTACTAATCTATGTTTATGTGAGGTCTATATTATATTTCTGCAAATTTATAGGTTAAATCACAAATTTTACCCCTCCCTATGAACAATTCAGAAAACGTATAAATCTTAAATAAATTTATTAATCAATCTATATTGAGTTATATGTTAGCACGATTTCCCTCTTTTTTTTTTTTTTAAAGATTTAATTTGGTTGGTAATTAAGCGTCGATTTTATCATATTTTGACGTACTTCTTTTTAAATTTTAGAGAGAAATATTTTAATAGAATAATAATTTTTTCTTTATAAATTATTTTATTTTCAATCCATATTTTATAGTGAAAAGATAATTTTGTAAATGGTCATAGCAGAGCTCAAGTTTATAATGCTTGACCCGAAATGCTAAAGGGACAGGGATCGATGACAGGTCTGAATTTTGTCAAATGCTATTACTTCATAATTGAACTTAATAATGTATTTCAATTGTCATTGAATTATGCACCATGTTATAAGCATCACTCAAGTCGACGCCATTTATTGAATCCAACGAATTTTCTCATTTGAGTGATGAATGTGTAACATGGTTTATAATTTAGTGATTATTGTGATACATTTTTAAGTTCAGTTATGAATTTGTAACACTTAGCAAAGTTTAGTGACTATTGAGTTACTTTTTAAGTTTAATTGTTAAATAGTAACACTTAGCAAAGTTTAGTAACCATTCACGTAATTAGAATACCTTTTTAAAATTATCAAATATAAGATATAAACATAAATAAATTATACAAATTTGAAAATGTACAGCATGACGTGTAAAAAACGAAACGCCAACAACGTGTCACTAAATAAATGCACCACAATTTATATAGATAAAGCTGCAACTTCCCAATTCTTTCATTTTTCTTCAAGGNAAGAAATGGACGGTTATTAAAGACTTTCATTCGCCCTATGATGATGTGATCTTCAGGGAGGGGCGTTTTTATGCAATTGATAATACGGGGAGAACTGTTGTCGTGAATCTGGATGAAGGGGGATCTCCTAGTGTAAGTGTTGTTGCGCATTCGATTTTTGGCGGGGACAAGAAATTCTTGGTGGATTCATTTGGAGATTTGTTGTTAGTCGATAAGTATTTGTCTGTTGGCCCGGAGGATGATCTGGGGTACATTGAAGATATTGGGTTCTACGAGGAATTTGATTGTTATACGAGTGAGCGGACAGTGAAGTTCAAAGTATTTAGATTGGATGAAAATGCTGAAAAATGGGTCGAAGTGACTAATTTGGGTGATAAGTTGTTGTTTCTAGGTGATAATTGTACATTTTCAGCTTCTGCTTTGGAGGTGTTTGGGGATAATGGGTGTAAAGGTAATTGTATTTTCTTTACAGATCAGTTCTTTAGTGGCAGGGAGGATGATTGGGTGTGGAAGAGTCGTGGTATTAGAGTGTTCAATTTGGAGAGTGGGCGTATTGGGCCAATTGATAGTCAAGATGGTTATTCCGACATGTTTTGGCCACCACCTGCTTGGGTTTGTTCTAATGTGTCTGTTGAAGTAAGTGGTGGTTTTAATTTTCCAGTTTCAGCTAATTTCTTGGAATTTATATCTTTCCGCCTAAATTTGTTTATTGTGTGAGATGCATTTGTTGAGCAGCATCATGTATTAGAGATATTATTTGTGTTTCTTGATAGCATTGGCCGCAGTTTTAGTGTAGCACTAGTTAAGTGGTCGTTTTGATTTTCATGTTAACTGCTAATTTCTCAGATTTTATATCTTTTCGTCCAACTCTATTCATTATTTGAGATGCATTTGTTGGAGCATCATCTATTCAAGATATTGTTTACGTTTCTGGATAGTATGCCACGGTTTTAGTTTATTATTTGAAACTATTGTCTCAAGAAAAATGATTGAGAAAACTTTGATCTTCTTACGGCCTAATTTAAAAATATGTAATGCAAAGTTTGCACCTTTTCGTACTTGATTGCCTCTAATTTTGACTGCAAGCAATGTTACGTGAGCCTTATAAGAGTTTAATTTAGTCACTGAAAATTTGCTTCTTGATCTAAGTGCATTCTAGTCTTTTCTTGTCTTGTGCATAATTGCTGCTTGTCTGCCAAATGTGAACGTATTTCCAATCTGGAGCAAGCAACTGATTCTGTCGGCCTTTGTCATTTGTATGCAGGCTGAGCTAGAACGATTGGCTATTTAACTTTTATCAATACTTGTGAGCCAAACAAGAGTACCAGTTGGGAGGACAGAAGTTATTGATATTTATGACCATCTGTCTACATATTTGACAGCTTCAGCAGCTAGCTATTTCTTATTTTCAGTTTTAAGGTTTTTCATGTACTAATCTTATGCTAGAAGTAAGGTTGATGACTAACAATGTTACTACTTGATTGCATATTTCTGTTCATTTTTATGTGGAATGAAATTCAACTTGTTGTCTAATGATATTAAGCGATTTTGGTATGTGAAGACCATTATTTCTCCACCATTTTGACATTGACAGACAGTGCATTCTAAGTTTCTACTTTTCAGGCAAATGGCAAATGAAATCCTGGGATATTGCTATTCATTGTGTGTGATTTTGCAAATACCTTGTTAACTGAGTGATCTCCCTTTAGCGCATATGTTTATGTTCCAACAATTTCCTTAAGAATAATACTATTTGCAGTCACTCACCACTGCAATCGCCCTACGTGACATGCATGTGGGGATTAATGATTTGATATATGTGGTAAGAAAAACTTAACACATTAATACGTCAAATCACAAACCGCCGCGTAGGATGTCACATAGCAATTATGACTAGCATTACTCTTTCCTTAACCCATTGAACGTTTGAGCTCTCATTTTGGCTGGTTCAGCTGTTGTCATTGCACTCTGATAAGCAGTTGTTTATGTGGACTTCCAATTTCCACCTCTTATTTCCGTGAAATAGTTTTGTACATTAATCGTATTCACCATTAATCCAAACTTGTTTCTTTTTTGGCATACTTGAGCAATCTTGTCTATTTTTATGGATCTGATCATTCTTTGGTTGACATTGGGGTTTAGGTGCTCTGTTTGTGCTACAAAATTTACTCTTGTTAGCAATTAGGAGTCAGCACAGCACTCTATATGCCCTAGAAAAAACATAGAGCTTGGAGAAAAGAATAAGAAAAACCAAACAGACAGAGAATGCTAAACCTGTGTCCATCCTATTCCTAAACGGTTTAGTATTATTGCTGTTTCATTGTTGAATCTCAAAATCCAATGTCAAAGTGCAAAGCAGGTTTGGCTTAGCTTCTTCGCATGAGAAGCTAACTTATTTCGACAGTATCAAGAGTTATACAGCTGAAGTAAGCCAATAAAGAAGCCATTTTTTGGTTCGTTGAACTGTCTGCTCTTATAAAATATTTGATTTAAAAGACAATCTTCCAGTATTAAATTTTTCCGTTCAATGGAGATGAGCTCGTTTTGTGTCCATTTTGTAGGGGTTAGAAGGGTTGGATTGGGATTTTGGTGGATAGGTGGTGATGCTGGTTGATTTAATACGCTGTCATTGTGATAAGAACTCAATCTGCTAACCTGCACATGGAATAGGTTGGGAACCTCATGCCCATTTGTCTGCTGGTGTGGGAGAAAGTTAACGTGTTCTTTGGAAGAAAATATGAAGGGGAGTAGAAACGTGTGTGATATGGAAAAATTTCCTTTTGTAATATATTGAGTTTCCTATATAAAGATCTCGTCAAGGCGATGTAGCAAAAAGTGGTTATAATCCCGCGGGGCAGGTAACCAAAGTTTTCCAGAAATTACTGTGGGCATCTCGGTTAGGGGAAACCGATATAACAAATCTTTCATGAGAACATAAGATCATGGTTCTTTGTTGATAACTCCTTGTAGGATGTTGAGAGATGTCGTGTGAGATGATTGTTTGGTTGCATCCCATTGGTCGTGGTATTAACTAAATGTTCGCAAGATTATCGACCATAAACATTATTGTCAAGTGTGTTAGTATTGGCCTCATTTAGGTGTTCTCCATCTTACTTGGTGACCCTATTATCGATGGTTAACCATTTTAACTCAAATCGTGGTGCAGGTATCATGATTGCATGGTTCAGAAAGTTTATTCAATTGCATTTGTTGAATTGGAAAATACCATTTGTACAGAAAAATGGTTTACCACTTTCTAGACGGATTCTCACATTCACATGAGACCTGCATGGGATCCGAGTGAAAAAAATGATAAAAAAATTGCTTCCCCCTCCCCCTATGAGTCTGTTCTGTGAAACCCTCTCTGTACAAATAGCAAGGCGCTGTTGAATTATGTAATAATGAGTATTCTTCATATTGGCAAATTAGAACTGGTAACACTGTTATTGTGCATGTATTCCATATCAAGGCAGGAAAAGCTTGAATCGTTGTCTAAATTTTCATTGCAGTGGCCACGTCTCTCGAATGTGGATTAAGTGAATTACATTTCGCATGAAGTTGAAATTTCCAGAGAATTTCCTCCATTTAAGATTTCTTTGCCGATTCAAGTGCCCAAAGGATAATTGAACCTTAATCCATAAATTAGGATACCTAAATTAATTACATATATAAATAAAACCAGCGTAAGCCAATATTAACTAGATTCAGTTAAACCACTGTCAAAATATACCTATGCCATAATATACATGGTAATATGAAATTACCAATTTCCGGATTTTAGTACTCCTAACAGCCTTTATCCACGAAATTGAATCAGTCACGCTCCGAGGCATCCCGAGAAACTCTTCTAGCACTAAGATTTCCAGCAAATGACCATACTCTATCGCAGTCAGTTTGTGGGGAAACAGACCTCCTTTGGCTACTGGCTAATGGCGGAGATGAACAAAATGTTGGAGTTGCAAACGAAGAGGTATATGGGGTGTGCAGAATTGAAAAGGGACTTGGTGACATCTTCTTTTGGATAGGAAGTCCATTTAAACCTCCTCTGTTGAAAACTGACAAGGACTCCGCTGCAGCACAGCGTTTGGTAGCATCGTCTACATACAAAACATCGTCGATCCTCGCCATTATGTTGAACGCCAAGCTCTCCATTACCCTTGAATAGCTTTCTAGAATCGACTGCCCGACATCCTGCAGAGGAAACAGGAAAGTTTTGTTTAAGCAAACATTCATTTTCATACCGTGCTAACGGAATTAAAATTACTTTAATTGACCATTATAAGCATTCAAACATTGAAAAGTAACATAGAATAACTACCTTGTTATACTGGATCTTGTTCATGTCCAGTGCAGTTTGCGGGAGACCGGGAAACCGAACTCTTAGGCTGTGCAGTAAGGTTTCAGCTCGCTGTACCAGACATTGGTTCTTTTCACCGTCAATAACAAGGCCCTTCATCTTACCACCCCATGTCTTGCGCTTAGATTTCTTAAGGTTTGGCTCTTTCTTTCTTTCTTTCAGCTTCCATACATGCACAGCTGCCTCAATTCTGTTTACCACATTTAGTGTGTGATGCTCGGATGACAAATCCAGGCAATCAAGCAGACACCCTGGTGAGAATTGATCAGCAGTTATGTATCGGTAGATGGTATGACCCAAACAATCTCTTCCATTCTGAAACGGCAAATGGTAAATAAATGAGAAAACATAAATCATGAATCTCTCAGATTTTTTTATATACAAACGATGGCATAAACACATATTTCTGTCCAAATTCTCATATAGGTGGTTGTAGAAGATTTACTGCAACAAAACACCGGTTTACTTTTTGTCAAATCAAGACTTGATAACCATGACCTTTGTAGTGATTCTGGTACTGTGTTTTGCAGCTCATATCCAACATGGAAGGGAATGAGTGAACAAAATTTCGATAGTCCCTCACAACCCACTGAATCTTTCTATGTCAAGCAGAGGTTGGCATATGACATCTATCTTTTACAAAACAAGCAAATTATCTTCAAAATTAATGAATTGTAGATGAATCCCAAATGATGTAATTTAATGATAATATGACTCTGTCGATTGCATTGCAGACACCATAGTGATGCTACGGCATAAAGTGTCGAACAATAGATATGATGTACAAATAGATTGTGCACTTTTAAAAAGCAGAGTTGCAAGGCCAAAGACATTCGAGGCCCAGCTGTCCAAGAGTATAAATATGTCAGCCTATTCTTCAAAATGTCTAACAAGTATAACAACAAATGGAAAGAACTAAAAAATAGCATAGTTAGTTTACCATGCAATTCTACTCTCACAATTTCCAAGCAATAAACTACTGTACAGAAATCCTCCTCGCTTCAAAGATAGCATCAGGGTTAAAAAGGTTTATTGTAAGCTCGCAATTTCCATGTCAAAAGCAGTATATATGTTTTTCTCTTGTAAATTTCATTTCATCTTTCTATAGGGTGCAGAAGTCCTGGAAAATTTAATCCTATGGTGTTGTACCTACCAAAGAAAGGTGCAAAGGGGCTAATATCTGCTATTTCTTGTATGGATGGACCTTCAAATTAGGTTTTAAATGGAACTGTACAAAGTATTGTCAGAAATGAAAAAAATACATGTAGAAGAACGATAATGCAATCAAATCTAAGTGAATCCAATATTATTTAGCATTGACATTTTCAAATATCCAAGTTTACAAGATAAGCAGGACAAAAAGAAAAATATAAAGACTGCAAATTGACAAGCTAGCTTTGGTAGAATTACTCAAGATTACAGAAGAAATCTTATGCCTTTAGACAAAATAAAGATCCAATCATCAAGAATACAATGCTATGCTAAGTAGGATGACGAAAATTCTAAAGAAGTGTGATGCCCACAAGCAAAATGTGCTTCTCATGTTCACATCAAAGGAACATGGTGGAATAACCATGTATAAGGTAAAATTACCTTGGGCAATGTTTCCAAATAGGCATCAGGAATCTCCATCTCAGCAAGAACATTGCCATTTATGGCCAAAGCTGCCTTCAATATCTGGTTTGTGCAATCACGGCACTGCTGTAGTCTCTTCCTCATATCATCTGACAATCCCTTTGGAGGAACTTTTGGGTAAGGGAGCCACCACTTCTCTTCCTGTCTAATAGAAGGCCTGCCACCAGATACCGCTGAAGAATACTTCTCACACTCATCCACAACTATCCCACGATCAACATACCAAAACTCTGTATCACGAAATCCGTCAAGAATGCTTATCAACATAGCATCGAGTTTCTTGAGTGCTGGTAAACTCATATACAAATCAGATCGTGGCCTTGTTGCCATTACTTCATATGTGCCTCCACCGGGAAATGGCTGTATAGAGGGCACTAGTTCCACAATTGAATCACTAACAGATAACAACCATTCCATCTCTCTGCACCACATTGTCTTCTTCTGAGGTGCCATTGGCTCCAACCTCCACAATTCGCCAAACACAGTTGCTATAACCCAAAAAATTTCAAACAAAGTTAGACCAAGCATTCAGATCTTATTTGCCTACATACTCAGGTGTATGGAAATATATACACCATATACTGTGACTTACCAGAGAGATTAGTAATGGCATTTGATATGGCGAGTGCAGTGCAAACTCCTTTACCTCCCCCAGACATGTCTTCACCAAGAAGAAGCTTAGCAAATCTCTCCTTCATCATCTCAATATCTAAGAGTGAACAGAATATGAGAAAACACAATGTTAACAAAACATCCATAAGCCCCACTATCCATCAAGTAGGCCAATATGTTATACAACTAAATAAACTTCTAGTATACTAATAAATCAAATCTTTATTGACTAAAATAGTATGAAGATAAATGAAGGAAAAATTGCAAATCATAGGCATAAGAGTTATATTAGATGTAGCCTTCAAGTTATTTCAAAGCAGATGAAACAAACAATGAACAGTAGACATAGAACACAGTAGGATTTTTCCAGCATACAATTAAAATGCCTGAAACTTCCAATTCTCCAAAGAAAAATATTCTCAAGTTCCACTGACTGACTATAAAATCAAACCAAATAAAAACCTGACAAATCGGCGTCGCACTTCTGCGGCTTCTTATCCCAGACTACCGCATCCTTCCCGCCAATCAGCGGGAACATGAAAGGCCGCACAACCGGGGCCGGAATCCCCGAGCTAGCAACAGCTGAGATCGGCGACAAGGCTCCTGAACTCGAGGCGCTTCCGTTTTCCTCCTCTACCTTGTACCGCCGACACGATGAGCCGCTATTTGAAAATTCCGATTCACTGATATCAGCACTCAGGCTGTAGCTCCCGCATCTCTCTTCAGACTCGTCCTCTGACGTCACACTCATTTTCACACGAATGAGCTAAACCAGAAGCTTGATTTGTTTGTAAATACAGAGATCTCAGATGTGCATTCTGGTAACAAATTGAGTAGAAAAAGCAATACTAAACGTGGCGGTGAATTTGCTTCGGATAAGAGTAGTGGTGATGGAAATTGTAAAGCAAAATGCAGATTCACTCTTTCGTCTTCTCTCTCTCTTTCTCTTTCTAAATGTAAATGTATGTATATATGTCCTTACCTCTCCCCACCCTCTCTCTCTCTCTCTCTCTCTCTCTGTTAATGTATAATATTGTATGTATACGCAGGCGAAGGGTCTCTGGCAGTAGAAAAGTAGAGAGAGACGGCGTTAGCCAAGGAGAGTCATTTTCTACGGCAGAGGTGGACGGTTGGGTTGCACGTAAGTAGACGGCGTTAGCTGTATGGGTTTGTCACGTGGGGTTGAAATGATGTCGTTTTAGTGTAGGATTTTACAATGAGCATTGTTATTTTTAAGGCTGGAAAAAATTCCTAAATCGAATCGAATTGAGTAGTTTTTTTTAGGTTAAATATTCAAATGGGTATCTGAAACAAGAATTGAATTTTCTTAATTTTTTAAATTTATTTATTTTAAATAAGTGAAATTATTTTATTTTTTCTAAATAAATTTGCTAACATAAAAATATGATTTTCTTATTTCTAATTTTCAGTTCAAGCAACTTAATTAAATTGATCTAAGTTTTATCCAAATCCGTGATTGTATCATAGTGTTGCTTTTGCCCTTCTGGAGAAATCAAATTGAAACTCGATAGTGCTACTCTTAATTATTTTAAGCTTGCTATCGTCCTCTTTTTGTGATTTTCACAATTAAATCTATGAAAAACTTAACAAAAAGATAATCAAAAAGACACATAAGATTGAATTACGTTATCTTATAAGAGTTAAAATTGAACATGTCATGTGACGGCCAAGTTAGAGGACCAGCAAATAGCAAAATCAACATCCTTTGGACAAAATTCAACTTAGCATTCCAAGATTGAAGCACAGAACACTTACCTTCGACGTAAAATCAATTAGAACAATCACTCACGATGCCAATAACCATACCAAGCTCAAAAGACACTATAGAGAAAATGATTGTTGCGACGTGACGTCCAAGTTAGCCAATAGAAATCGCATGAAAGCACTTCTATGGCTCCCGTTCCCAAAATTGTGTCAAAATTGATTGAAGTGAGAATGACTGGGTCAGTCCCTATAGGAGAGGTTCATTTCATTCATAACGAGTACAAAATTTCATGTAATTCTCTAAATCTCTACTTGACTTGAGTGATTTTTTGATTTCATTGACTTAAGTATACAAGAGTTTTTGGCCGTATTACTCCTATTTTTAAACACGTATCTGAACTCGTAACGATAAGGAAGCTAAGTATACAATCAATCCCCCCTAAAGCAATATTCTCAACGTCATCTCAAGAAACATATATAGTGCTTATTTGATACAGATTTTAAGTCAATTAAAATCAAATTTTTAACCGTTATTTCACTATTCTAATCATTATTTTTGAATTCTTCTCTTACATATATGACCAATTTTATTTTTAACGGTCAAAAAATCAATTATCAAGATTCTTACCAAACAAAACATATACTTTGATATCACAATCACATATATTGGTAGAAAAATAACACGTTAAAAACATGTGAAACCGTACTTATTCCGAATCAATTGATTTGGTGTCAAACGTGGTCCAAACAAGAAAGGGTAAAATTTGGGCATGATGATTGCTTAATGCTTCCAATTTATGGTTTAGGGAAAAATGATGCCATGTGGCCCGTAGGGGATAAATTGCATTTTCGAAGGGGTTTTGATTTATTATCTTTTGTGATGAAATTATTATATATCAATTCAATCACTTTTGAACGTGAATTCCTGATTATTGGACTGGACATCATAGATATAGGTCGGCTGGTCGGATATGCCTACGACAGCAGTGTAGTGGCGTGTCGGAATGGGAAATCATGTGCTTATTAGCATTACTATTAAATTGAAAATTATTTTTAATTTATTTATCAATGTAATTCTTGTGGTACATAGTATTTTAAACTATACATACCTAAAATTTTTATTTTTGAAATGAACCCATTACTGGAAACATCTTTTTTTTTTTTTTTTTTTTTTTTTAAATGATTTTTGAAGGTAATTATAGTGTCAATTAATGTGATGTTGATTCATATGCAAACCAAACGTATGACGTTCAAATTCCACTCCCTATTAATTACCTAAATTTCCGCGAGTAGAGGTTAATTTAACTATGAGGTATTTTCACAAAATGTCTATTTTTATCTAGTCATTTACAAAAATATTTACCATTATAAAAATGTCTAATTTGGAAGAATTTAAACCAAAATACGTTTATTAACAATTTATAATTCCACACTAAAATAAAAAAAAATGGACATTTTTGTAATATTGTTATTGGTTTGATACATAACCTGCCATATTTATTTCAAAAAGTATACATGTCAAATCACAATAAATGTTATGTTTTTCATTGATTCAGAAATGTCGAGAACGATATTTTTAAATATAAAAAAATGTCATGTTTAAAATGAAATGTCATTCTAGACAAATGAAATGGTGTTCAAATGTTGAGAATGACATATGAAATGTCTAGAAATATATTTTAATGTAACTTCTCATGAAAATCACTTCTCAAAATTCGTGGCAAATTAATAAAAAAATCAAATGTCGAGAACGACATTTAAAATATCGAGAATACCATTTCAGAATGTAACTTTTCATTAAGGGTATAATAGATAACTTGGCACTAAATTCAAATGAATGGATACTTTTCAACTCATACTCTTAAAATTTGATATTCTTAAAAATGCCCCCCTTAACTATTTAAGACTTCAAAATGGGTAGCGCGTCATTTTCAGAGCAACCCAATCAAGAAATTTGGCTCTCTCTCTCTCTCTCTCTCTCTCTCTCTCTCTATGTGACTTTTGAGTTCTATAAAACGTTTAGTTGGTGTAACTAACTTATCTAGCTTACATTACAATGTTGAATAATACTAAGATGAACAGTGTTTGCCGAAATCAAGGAAATAATTATGGAAGTCAAGTCCGGTCCGGTCCGGTCCACTCCAAGTAAACTTTTAAGAATAATGCTGTTTATTATTTCAACATATCATTTGTTCTGAATAAACAAAAAGTTATTATACATTTTCTAACATCTCGATGTCTTACACAGTGAACACCTTTTCGTTTACTAAAAAGAGATGATGTGTTGATTTATCAAAAATACGTTAAGGTAATAATCAAAAAGAAAAAAAGTCTGATACATCAAATTTTGAACTAATTTTAGATCTTATGTTATGAAATGGTGGTTTATAAATTTGTTTCCCAATATTGGTACTTACTTTGATGAAATTTAAATACTTATCGATTTATTTTCATTTTCTTTTAAAAAATATATAAAGTAATTGTGTTCAAACATTTAATTCACGCTTATGAAATTACGAAATTATGAGGTTTATCGAATTTATTAAGTCACTGTCTCCTGCAAGAATGGTGGAAATTTGGTAGAACTTATAACTAGTTGGTAAGCTAGATCTAAATTCTTCAATATTTATTTTTTTTTTCTCTCTAATTGCAAATTTATTAAATATTGTCTCTAAAAACTTAAATGCTATTTTGAATGATAATGGGCTATAAAGCAATGATTTAAACTAAATTATATTCATAGTCTCTAAAACTAAAGTTAGCCATCAATCCTAAATTTCGTAGAATTCGAGATAAAAATCTCGACTCGTCAAATTTTGATATGATCGGTTGCAAAATGAGTATGGTGTGCAAATTTTGATATCATCGGTTTCAAAATGATATAGTGTGAGTACTTAGTAAGATAAAATTTTACGAGCTATAATGATAAATTGATTAATTACTCGAATCAGTTGGTGAGTTTGAATAAATTTTCTCTAATTTATTCTTTTTGTCTTTGTTGACACATAAAAATTCAGCCCAAATCGAACGGCCCAAGGAGTGAAACCCAATTGGAGGATCCCCAAATCAGATAGCTCAAAGAATGAAGCCCAATCAAACAAATCAAGATGAAGGCTCAAATAGGGAGGCCCAAGAACGTGGTAACGCCATCGCCCAAGTTTGCAAGTCGCCCAAAATCTGAGCGAATGGAGTGCCATACAGTCGCCCAGAGCTGTTACTCTATTTTCGCCCAAACCTTCAAGTCGCCCAAGGTCTTAACAAACATAAAGCGTCGTGGTTATTAAGAAGTGCAGTTATCAAAGCAGTTATTAAAGCAGTCCTAACACATTTCACGATTCAAGGAATTCAATCAAAAGCGGTTGAACGATGAAGAGTAATGCCAGCAGTTAAAAAAGGTAGTTTTCATGACAAGTTGGCCATTACGAGGAAAGTGGACAGTTATAGGACGATCAAGCAGTTTTTAGGGCGGTTGATCACAAAGAGATCGTCCATGAAGTATAAAAGGGAGAAAAGACATAGAAGCAAAGGACCGAATCAAAAACTCTCGAACAGAGAACGTGTAATTTTAATTTCCTTAACTTAAATTTAAACACTTTTCTTTCAATAACTCGTGTACTTGCGCCCCTTAGAGGCACGTTGTTTTTAATTTCCAATTGTAGAGTCATCGCCAATAAAAGAACATCCCTTTTTGGGACTTTGTCTCAAGAGGTTTGTCCCTTACACAATCGTTTGATCCTTTTTAATTGTTAGCGACTAACCCGCACGAAACAATTTGGCACGCCCAGTGGGACAGTGGTGTTTGGTGTTGAAAATACAAAAGGTGAAACAATATGCCTCAGAGATCCAATAAGGAACCGGCAAGTTAGGGAGGAATCCAGTCTATGATCGAGCGATATGAGGAGCAGCATGCCTCTCCACGAACAGATGGACAGAATCAGAGCAGTAACAATCGTTACGAACCAATGACGGAGTTGAGTCCTCGAACCATGCGTGCATTACTTGGAGAACTCACACAAGACGTCGTTGAACAGGTAAATCTTCGAAGTATTCATAATATGGAAAGATTTACTCAAAATGGGAATGTACACTATGACAACATAGCCAAACAACTAAACACGTTGAGCGAAACAATGAATAAGTTAGTAGGCCAAATATGTCAACCGGTTATACCTCTTGGAAATCACTTTCAAACTAGGACA